AAAAAAAAAAAAAAAAAAAGAGGCGAAGTCTCAGCTGAGAAACTGGCATCCCAGGGCAAGGAAAGCAGGCCCAGGCACACCCCATGTGGCCATTCAAGGCCTGGCTCCAGGCCCACCTTTGAGACTGGGAACACCCAGGATAGCACCAAGCCTGCTCCTACGATACTCACTCTCTAATCCACCAGCCTATGGACTGCTGTGGGGGTGTGTGGGTTGTAGCCAACCTCAAAACAAATAATGGCACAAACCAAGAGATATTTAGATCGTCTTCATGCAAAATTCAAAATAGGTGATCCTAGTCAGTGGGCACCTTCCTCCAAGCAGCAATTCAGGGACAGGCTCCTTTCGTCTGTGGCTCTGCTATGTTCATTACATGGACCTCAAGGTCACTGTGGGGTTTGCATCCAACCAGCCAAGGGACATCTGTGTGTGGAGGGGAGTGAGGGGAATCTAGGGGAGCAGACCTGGACGTGGCACACATCTGCACAGTCCATTGGCCAGAACTCAGTCACATGCCCCACCTGTTGCAAAGGAGGCTGGGCAATGTGGCCAGTTATGTCCTGCAGGAAGAGTAACTGGCTTTGTTGGCCTGCAGCCAGTTTCAACCACAACCCCTAGTTCCGTCTCCATCCCTGGCTCCCGCCTTCCCAGGCCTCCCCCTTCTTTTCCACACACTCGGGCCCTAGCCTGCCCCACCATGCCCCATCCTGCCCTGGGCACCACTGTCCTGCAGCTTCATCTGCCACAAGCTATGACACAAGAAAAGACCAGTCCTGGAGAGTCAGAGAGGCAACAGGTTTATTCTTCAGGAGTTTACAGAACACACAGATAGAGCAAAAGACAGGGTGCAGACAGCTTGGGGTGAGGGCAAAGGGTCTCCTGCCGCCTTCTCTTCCATCTACCTGCCTGAGTGCAGGGAGCTGGGAGCCCTCTTGAGTGGGTAGTGAGGAATCCTTGCCCTCCCCCACCCCCACCCTCACCTGGCTGGCTGCCCTGGGTCCTACAGAGCAACACTCAGAGGGATCCCACAAAAAGTGCTGAATTGAGGGGAGGGGGAACTGCAAAAGAAAATGACTTTGCCAGGTGGCCTTTGTGCAGCCCCAGAGGAGCCCCCACGGAGACCCAGGTGCCCCCTCCCTTCCTTGGCACTTTTCCTGACTCTCTGCTCCCCCTGCCGGTGACTCTACCACGCAGGCCAAAGCTTCTCTTTCTCCTTATTTGTGAAGAGTGAACAGACCTCAGGTAGGAAAGCAGCAAAGGGCCCGGGCAGGCAGGAGGGGAAGGTATCCACTGGGGCTGGGCTCACCCAAGAGGCCCTGATGGACAGAAGGTCCCATTGCCTCAAGACCCACATCTTCCCGGCCACATGCCACCTCTGCCACCAAAACTCTGCTCCTCCTCATGAGGCAAGGGTTTCCAAGAGAGGGGAAAAGGCAGGCTGAAAGGAGGCTACCAGGGGTGGGGGAATCCAGAAACTCCCTCCTAAAGGAAAAGCTCCTCCTTCTACAGTTGGGGAGGGGTGAGATAGACTCAGCCTTGTCACATCACCTCTCCAGTATGGCCAAGGGGACAGGACCAAGAAGCAGGGAGGCCTGGGAGAGCCTGGGCTACAACAGAGACAGACAGAGGCCTCTGGCAGGAGTCACCTCTCTCATTGGCCATCCCAGCCCCGACTCATGGCCTGCACCACGGTCTGATAGAGCTGGCTCCAGGCGGCCCTCGTGGCTGGGGTGAAGGCAGGGCCCAGACACTTCTCCAGCATGTAGAGCAGGGACTCACCCACTGTCTGCAGAGGCAAGGAGCACCTAGTCATTTCCCGAGGGCAGGAAGGCATGGCTCCATTTCACAGGTGAGAAAACTGAGGCCTGGAGCTGATAAGGGTTCCCAGGCCTTTATTTTCTCCTGTAGAGTCCATGCTTCCTGAGCAGGGTTCTGACCAAATCCTTGAGTACCACATTGTGCCCACTTTCCCCCTTAAATGTAAGGCTTATAGTGAACAAACCATTTCACCCCAGTCTAGTCATTCAGCCACTCAGTGAGTGAGGCCAGCGTATTGGCCTCCCAGCTCAGACCAAACCAAGTCATTACCACCAAACTTCAGTTTCCTCATCTGTAAGGCGGCAATTATGGGGTTAAGAGCTTAGGCTCTGGAGCCAGAAGACCAGAGTTCAGATTCTGACTCCATCATTCATTAGCTGGGTGGCCTTGCAAGTATCCTCTCTGAGCCTCAGGTGCAATACAGGGAGAGTAAAAGTTCCAACTCATGGGCCTGTTGGGATGATCAAATGGGATAATCCAGAAAAAGTTCTTAGTGTAGTATTTGTATACAGTAAGGCTTCAGCAATAATAATGGCTCTCATCTATTATTAATTCTAATAAAATAAGTTGTATTTACTCCACAAATATTTACTGACTATCCACTGAAAACCAGGCACTGTGCTAGTGCTGGGTATGACGAGGAGGATAAGAGCATGGCCCCTTCCTCCAGGTGCTTACTATATCCAGCAAGGTGATTGGACTATGTGGTAGACTGTCATGTTGGTGGCCCACCTTGAGTAGGGTCCTCCCACATTGACATTGGCCTTATCCATGTGTCTGGCTTTAGCCAATGGGCCATTAGCAAGAGTGAGGCAAGCAGAGGCTTTATAAGTACTTGCACGCTGGACCACATCCTCTCAGAATATTTCCTCTTGGAACTCAGCTTTTATTCTATAAAGAAGCTCAGCTTCACTACAGAATGATAAGAGGCCACAGGGAGGGAGAGGTCAAAGGCTGACAGGCCAGCTGGAACACTCTAGCCCCGGGTGAGCTCCTAGCTGAACACAACACACAAGTTAACCCCAGCCACACCACATGGAGCAGAACTGCCAGCTGAACCCAGCCATGAGAAATCAGAAGTCATGGTTTAAAGCCAGTATGTTTTGGGGTGATTTGATACACAGCAATAGAAAGCTGAACAGAACAGATAATCCCAAAGACTCCTTTATGTTTATGGTTTTAAAAGAAGCCATACCGGCTCGGCGCCTATGGCTCAAGTGGCTAAGGTGCCAGCCACATACACCTAAGGTGGCAGGTTCCAATCCAGCCCAGGCCCACCAAAACAACGATGGCTGCAACCAAAAAATAGCTAGGTGTGGCAGGCGCCTGTGGTCCCAGCTACTTGGGGGGCTGAGGCAGGAGACTCGCTTGAGCCCAGGAGTTGGAGGTTGCTGTGAGTTGTGATGCCATGGCACTCTACCCAGGGCGACAGCTTGAGGCTCTGTCAAAAAAAAAAAAAAAAGAAGCCATACCATGCTGAGCATAGTGGCTCACACCTGTGATCCCATAACTTTGAGAGGACAGTGCAAGAGGATTACTTGAGGCCAGGAGTTTGAGGCTATCCTGGGCAATATGGTGAGACCCCCTTTCTATAAAAACTTAAAAAATTAGTCAGGCATGGTTCCTGTGCCATGGTTCCACCTCAGCATCAATCATAGTTCCAGCTACTTGGGAGGCTAAGGCAGGAGGATTTCTTGAGCCCAGTAGTTTGAGATTACAGTGAGCTATGATTATGCCACTGCTCTCCCACTTGGGTGACAAAACCATACCTTCTGTCTCAACAACAACAAAATAGAAGCCATATCAGAGAAGAGAACTTGGAGGCTCAGAGAGGTCAAGCTAGTGCCAGAGTCACACAGCAGGTAAGTTAACAGATGTAGGCCCCCAACCCTGATCATCCGAGGAGTAGGGAGAGAGAACAGGTGGATAAAGGAGGACTGAAAAAGAATGGTGGCCCCAGGACAGGAGCTCCAGAGAGAGGAAGAGCCCCTTTACCCACCGAGAAGGAGCTGAGCTTCACACCTACTGCCCGGTGCTTTCTGCCCAAGCTGGCAAGGTACTCCTCCAGTGAGGACAGGTCCTCCACATTGGTCACTGCAGCATCAATCACAAGCATCACCTGCCGAGACCAAGGCAGCAGTGAAACAGAGAGGCCACTGCAATCCCGCCTCCTCACAATCACAGCCCAGAACCTGAGGACCCTCAGAGGCAAGAGATGCCAGCAGGATCCTCAGTTTTTTAGGACTAGAGATCAAAGGCAGCTCATGTCCACATACAGTGGGCATTCAACATGTAGTGGCCAAACTACTAATGGTACACCCATGAAGGAAAACCTCTCTTCTGTGGGTTTCCAAGCCCTAAATACACCCACTGGAGAGTGTTATTTGCCTAGGACCAGGGGAAACTACACTTGATCTCAGCCAAAGACTGAGAAGTAATAGGATGAGGGGAAACTGAAGCCCTTTGAGAGTCACAATCCTCCAAAAAACACTAGCCTGCTTTTACCAGGCAGATGGCACTCAATGGCCGGGATCAGCACCAATACAACCCATAGAAACCAGGGGATAAGGCTGAGGGCAACGACAGAGGCTGGGATCAGCTGGCTGGGCACAAGGTGGGGAAGGAAGCTGACTTTCATGTACCAGACCCAGCCCAGTCCAGAGGGAAGATGCAGATGGCCCTGCACAGGGGAGCAGACGGAGGGGAGTGAGCCAGACCTGGGGCAGGAAGTAATTTTCCTGGTCCCAAGTCCCTCATTCTCTCCCAAGAAGGTGTTCTGCTGGATCCCAGAGGCCACAGCAGCTCCACCTCACCCTCACCTTCCTGATGTGGTCCAGGAACTCAGGGGAGGAGAGACAGTCCTCTGGGCTGGAGAACTGGCGGCAGTTGTACTGGAAGAGGGGCAGCAGATCAGGCTCCAGGTCAAACAGCCTGTGGGGATGAGGCCCAGACGTCAGCCCCGCAGTGTGAGCCCCAGCAAGCCCTGGCTGTCCAGCAGCCAGGAGCCATTGCAGACTCTCCAGCCTGGCACAGGAGAGCTCTGCCAGCGTCCCCCTCCTCACCCCTTCCACTGGCCCTGAGAGGCGTCCTGGAAAAGGCGATGTGTCCAAGCCTCTTACAGTGCCTGGCATACAGCAGCCCCTCCTCAGCAGCTGAGGGGTGTAGCCTGGGACAGGAAACTTGGAATTACAGTGTGAGGAGAGGAAAGTTCATCCTCTGTCCCTCTCCCTCCTGCTCCTGGGTCAGAACATCCTAGGCTCATATCATGTCTGAGGGGCTCCGAGCAGCGATGGTAATAACACCAGGAATGAATTCCTTATACTTGCTGTGCACAGAGCACTCTACAAGTGGTTCACTTGTAATTGCCAGTCCTCCCAGTCCAAAGCCACAGGTGCAACTGTTAATCTAATTTTACAGAGGAGGAAACAGAAGCCCAGAGAGGCTAAGTAACCTGCCTAGGGTCACACAGTTGGAAGTAGAGCCGCTACAGTAGGTGCCTGATGAAACAGCAAGCACAGGGAGAGCCAGGAGGCACAAGCAGGTGTGTACAGTCATTTTGGGGAGGGCTTCTTTGGGTTTTGAGCAACTCAAAACCTGGAGTGCATTTATCCTCTTTTGGTTAAATCCAAAGATTTAACGGGGGAGGTTTTGCAAAAGCCTGGTCAGAAGTCCTGGGCTGGCCAAGGGTGCCCCGGCTGAGGAAACCATGTTGAAGGGGGAACACTGCCCTGTGACGGCAGAGGAGTTGCTGAGAGACCCTGGAGCTGACGTTGAAGACTGGCAGCTCTTCTCCCGTGGGACTTGAGCACCCTCTTACCTCTCTCCCTGGCGGTGACACTTGGGCCTCTGTCATCCCTTCCAGGTGGTACTCTGGTCCTAACCTGGTCCTTTCCTCGGAAAACGTTATCCCTCATTCGGTTGCTGGAGTGCTCCTGCACCTGGGCCCCGACCCGTCCGTTCACTCGCAGCTCACCCGACGCATCTGTCCCCACCGGCCCTTGGGGCAGCGGCGGGCACCCCTGTAGTCACTACCCAGGAAACACTCAGGAGGCACAGAGCCGGGGAGGGGACTCAGCGCCAGACCGGCGTCCGCCTGCCCGAATGTAAGGAGCTCTGGAGGATCCCCGCCCATCCCTAGTGAGCCCAGCTGGGAGCCAGGTGCTCGGGCCCCATGCGCAGAAGGTGCTGCGCCACCCGTCGCCGCGCCCGCTCCTCTGGCGCACATCTGGCAGACGCCTAAGCGCCAGGGCGGCGGGCCAGTTTTCCCTCCTCCGTCGCGGTCCCGCCGCCTCAAACCCGTTCCCAGCGAGGCGCCCTTCCACCGGGGCGCTCGTGCAGCCCTCACCTGGCGAACAGCACGGTGCCGTGCTCCAGCGGGCTGCGGCTCACTGCTTGCCAGCTCTGCCGGATCAGCTCCGGCTCCGGGCGCTCCATCCTCTCCCAGGGACGTAGGGCGCAAGGCTGGCACCCTCCGGGCGCGGGCGCGGGCGCGGTCACCGCACGTGCCGCGCCATCTCCGCGGCGACGCGAGCTACTTCGTACTTTCTGCGGCCCCAGAGCCTCGGCCAGGCGAGGTCCAACAGCCGCTCCTTCCCTGGCCGGAGCCCAGAAAATATGCGTGCGGTCCCTAAGTGGCGGCGCCCCCGGCGCGCCGGCCCGCTAGCACTTCCGGGGACCCCACTCGGCCACTGGGCCCTGCGCCTAGCAGCTCTGTGAGCCGCCCAGCCCCACGCCACCCGGGCTGGGACGCTTTAAAGCAATCGCCGCCCCCGCCTCCTCCCGTCCAGCAAGGCGGCGCCCCAGCAGACGGCTCTGGCCAGAGATGACCGGGTGGCACAGGAAATGCCTTGGCTTCAGAGCTTAACAGAAACCGTATAGTTTCTCATCCTGAGCCCGAGGATACTGTGTTGAATTTGGGTGCCTTGGATGGGCGCTACCTGAGCCACCTCTCCGCGAACGCACTCGAACATTTGAGTTTGCTATGCCTTTGGCACAAAGTCTGTTCAAATCATGCTGGACTGCAGTCGCTTTCCCGTCCTAACTAACGTCCAGTTAGCGGTGCCAGATCACCAACCTGTGGGTGTTTGGGAGCCATTGTTTATGAATAGCCTGTAACTCTTAAGCCCGGCTGGAGTGCTGAATCCTGGCCTTTAAAACTTCTAGCCTTCAGGCAGTGCTTGTGGCTCAATGGGTAGGGTGCGGGACCCATGTACTGGGGGTGGCAGGTTCAAGCCAAGTCCTGGCCAAACTGCAACAAAAAAATAGCCGGGCATTGTGGCAGGCACCTGTAGTCCCAGCTACCTGGGAGGTCAAGGCAAGAGAATTGCCTAAGCCCAGGAGTTGGAGGTTTCTGTGAGCTGTGTGATGCCACAGCACTCTACCGAGGGTGATAAAGTGAGACTCTGTTTCTAAAAAAAAAACAACAAAAAAAACTTCTAACCTTCATCAGACTGAGGGCTTCAGCAGAAGAACTCTTCTTTCCTGCTCCCAGCCAAGCCCCATGAAACCACTTCTCTGTCCTCCATCTTCCAAAGGCTGAGGAGTTTGGGGTACATCTTATTCTGTTACTCCCCACCTCCCCATGTCTCTGGGCTGGAGCAGGAAAGCAAGGGTGGAAAGCCGGTGTTCTGGAGAGCTGGGGAGGCCCCCAGGCAAGAGCACAAAGGGCTGAAAGGAGAAGTGACTAAACTTCCAGCTTGGGATGTGGTGTGTGGCCCTGCAGCCAATGTGCAGCAGGTCACAGGAAAAGGCCACATGCATCTCTAGTGAGCCTCCCCTATCAGTGCCCAAATGCCCGGTGTCTAACTAGTCTAAGGCTTCCTCCCCACCCCTCCCAGCTTGAGCTTCCTGCAGACAGTACACACCCAGGACCCTTCTTACTTCCTTTCTCCTTTGGACAGAGTCTGGGGTCTGACAAGTTAGCGGGAGCTAACAGCCCTAGCCAGTAAGTGATGGAGTCAGCATTCAAACCCACAGCTTCATGCCTTGCCTCCATAATGCAAGACAGGAGAGAGCTAAGTGCATTCTAACCTCTGCTCCCCTTGAAGAAAGGCCTCTGCAGCCAGAGGGTGGATTCCAACAGACCAAGGTGTGAATCCATATTTGAGTTCGGGAGAGTCATAGGAGCTCTCCTCCTTACAGGCCATCTGTCCAGGACTTGGACAGCAGGTGATAATCTAGAAGAAAGTTCAAGTAGTGCCCTGGAGCCAGTGTAGTCACTAAGGTGGGTTTACCATAAATAATAAAGAACACTTATTGCTAGGCACAGTGGTGCACCTGTAGTCCCAGCTACTTAGGAGGCTAAGGCAGTAAGACCACTAGAGCCCAGGAGTTTGAGGCCAATCTGAGCAACATAGCAAGACCTGTTTATAAATAAATAAAAATAAATTCTAAAATGTACAAAAGAGCTAGCATTTACAGCACATTCAGTCCAGTCAAGGCACTTTCTATGACTCTTTTCATCCTCTCAGTGACCCTATGAGCATGGGCCATTATTCCCTTGTTTTATATTACAGTTGAAGAAATGGAGGCAGGAAGATTAAGTAACTAGCTAAAGGCCACATAGCAGGAGGTGGGGCCAGGATTTGACCTCACATCTCTCTGGCCCATCCTCTTGGCCTCCCGGAATGGGCTGTGACCCTGGTCACTGGGTCTGGATCAGTGTTGTGCTGGAGCCAGCTCTTACATGACAGCCAACCGTTTGCTTTTCTTTCCAACTCCTTATTCAGTGACATCAAGTAAGTAGCTTGAAATAGGCCATGGTGGGAACATTTACACTACAGGAATTAGCGCATTCTATAAATCAGGGCTTCTTTCCTTCCAGAAAACCTGTTGTTAAACATCTGCCACCACTGGTGTGGCACACCTGGAGGAACCACGGAAAACCGGGCCCTAGGTGAGCTGCTGATACATTAAGCTGGGTGTACAAAGGAACGTGCTGGGGCAGGATACCTCGAGCTGAGTTTTCAGGCCAGGCTGCTCTGAGAAGGTGCTTCTAGTCCCAAGACTAAAGAAGTGGAAAAAGCCCAACCCGGTCTGAGTCCTGGCTCTACTATTCATGGGACCTTAGGCAAGTAATTCAATCTTTTATGGACAGAATAAGAACAAAATATCACTGACTTCACTGGGCCTTTATGAAGATTAAATGTCACAGACGTGTGGAGACTTTGTAAACTAAGCTGTGCCACTTAAAGAAGAGTTATTTGGTCCTTTCCTATCCTGCCTGTCCTGGGCATTTTCCATCCCAGAATACCCACATGCCCTGCTCCTCCTCATGTGGCTACACCTGGACCTAAGGTGGGGCGAGGCAGTCCAAGTGCACAGGGCAGCACTACTGCTCTCCTTCTCCTCCTGTCCAGCACTCAAGTCAGCTCTTACTCCTTCAGATCCTTAACATCATTCCTGGTAACGGAGGCCTCATCACCATGGGGGCCACTGCTAAGCAGAAGGGCAAACTGCTACAATGCTGGGCCACTCAGCTGTGTAAAAAGTGGACAACTGTTACTATTCCTCTCCCACTCCTTTCCATACTGTAGAAAAATAATAGGTCCAGCTTCCTACTTATTTTGGAGTTAAGTTTAAGTAAACTGAAATGACAACCAACATTATTCCAGTAACCAGGCACAAGGGAAGGTCCAAATGCCCCTGGGATAATCACACTCACCTGCCCAGCCCAAGGTCCCTCCTAGGATTAGAACCCCAGAAGACACAATGGAATGGTTCTTGCACTCAAAACATTCTTCTCTCCTTAGGAAGGCTTTTCTGGGAGCCAGAGGGAAAGTCAGATTCAATTAAGTACAAGAACATGGTATTCAAAACAAGCACTATTTATTATAAAAGTAAATGGCCTCCAATTAGCTCTGGAAATCTTTTTTTTTTAAATTATTTTTTGGGTTTTTTTTTTTCCTGTTAAATAAAATGTGGCTCAAGAAGTTGAGCTGGCTGAAAAACGTCTTCCTCCTCTACTAGTAGTTTGTAGGACATGTCACATTTCTGCTAAGTCCTGGGGGCTGGAGTGCATATTCAAAGCAGCACCCTGACAGCCTCACTCCCCAGCATCTTCCAAATAGAACCTGAGCACTTGAAGGTGCATCAACCCACATGGCCTTGTCCCCAAGAAAAGTATCTGCCAGTTTGGGCATGGAGGAAAAGAGAATAGGCAAAAAATTCTTCTTTCATTCCTAAAAAACAGTGTAAGAGACCAGAGAAGCTTGTCCCCAGAGTAGCTAAATAAGGAGGGAAGGATGAGTCGGAAGCTGGCCGAGCTTTCTCCTTCCTCACCCTTACTCAGGGTGGCTGCCCCCTTGGGCTCTTCAGAGCTCTTCCCTTCCAACAAGTTCCTACTGGAAAGTAAAAAGGCACAAGGGAAAATTAGCTGCCCCCTGGATGTCACTGATTCCTGCCCACCTAGACAGCTGGCCCCACCCAGCTATGCTTGTGGGGAGAAGGGGAGGGCAAGCAGTGGGCTGGAAGGGGGAGCAGAGCTTCTCTATCCCTCTCTCCTTCCCTGCCAGAAATGCAATTAAGCAAGTGGCCCAGACTCAGCACTGGAGCAGCGCTTCCTGCTGGGGGAAGTCAAAAGGGCTGTAGCCCTGAGAGAGGGAGGTCATCAGGCCCCAGATCTAATTAACCAACCTGCCTTGCTTTTGACATTGCTGCATTTCCTCTATTAACATTAATGATGGCTGGTCTTAACAGCCAAGCCCATGCAGAAGCTTCCCTCCCCACCACCCAGTAGGTAGCACAGACTGTCTCTGGGACCAATTTCCAGTCTCCGTGGCAACCGCTTCCTGAAGATGCTTTAAAGAGCTCTGACCCTGTCAGAGTTGTTAGGAGCTAAGAGGAGGAAAAATGGAGGGTGGCAGAGATTCATCATTAAATCTTGAAGCATCAAAGTCCTCTGAGACAAAATAAATAATTTGTCATGCACCAGAAGGAAGCAGGCAGGCACAAGGGCTGACCTTGCGTAGGTTTGGTTCTGACTGAAGGGTTTTCTTAAACCCCTTTGGAGAGAAAGTGAAAGGAACAGCTCTGAGCTTCTTGTTTAAGCTTCAGAGTGACCAGAAAGTAGATACTGTCCTGTGTTTCTAGGTGCTTTGGGTCTTTGGGGAAAAGAGATGGGTGAAACAGTGACCAAGGGAAGGGAAATGCCAATGAGATGAGGGCGGTGAGCCTGGAGGACTGGAGGAAGCTCAGCAGGTGACAGGAACATTTGCCTAGACAGGCCAGAGCACCCCATGCCCCAGCCCCCTGCTGGGATGCCAGGCCAGCACCACACCACCCCTGCTGTCTCATCTACTTCAGCTGTTAGGAAAGGAAGGTCCCAAGGCTCTCCAGCAATCAGGAGAATGCACCTGACCCAGAGCTCACAGCCAGGCCACACACACAAAGAAAGGGATAACAGTCTGGCACTCAAGACGTGGCAACAAAGTGGCCAATGACAGGATGCTGCTTCTCTACCCAGGCTCACAGTGTGACATTCCCAGAAAACAAGGAACCAAGGGCTAAGACGGGCCGATCAAG